GAGAAGAAGGGAGAGAGATAGAGAGCTAGAAACATCGATGAGAGAGAGTCATCGATCAGCTGCCTCTTGCACACCCCCTACTGGGGATATGCCCGCAACCAAGGTCCATGCCCTTGACCGGAATCGAACCCGGGACCCTTCAGTCCCCAAGCTGACGCTCTATCCACTGAGCCAAACCGGTCTCGGCTTATTTTTTTTTTTTACAGAGAGGAAGGGAGAGGGGGAGAGAGAGAGAGAGAGAGAGAGAGAGAGAGAGAGCGCTAGAAACATCGATGAGAGAGAAACATCCATCCGCTGCCTCCTGCACACACACCCCCACCACCACCGCGGCCAAGGCCCACGCCCCTGGCCGGGAATCGAACCCGGGCCCCTTGAGTCCGCAGGCCGACGACGCCCTGTCCTCTGAGCCACGCCGGTTGCGGCTTCCCTTTGTCTTTACAGAGAGGAAGGGAGAGGGGGTAGAGAGCTGCCGTGTGTCCCCGAAAATAAGCCATCCTCCAAAAATAAGACCTAGCGCACGGAGAGAGAAGACATCCCCTGAAAAATAAGACCTAGCGCCACTTTGGGAGAAAAAGATTAATATAAGACGCTGTCTTATTTTCGGGGAAACAGGGTAGAAACATGACCGGCTGCCCCCTGCACACCCCCCACCGCCGGGGATGTGCCCGCAACCAAGGTCCACGCCCCTGGCCGGGAATCGAACCCGGGACCCTTGAGTCCGCAGGCCGACGATGCTCTGTCCGCTGAGCCATACCGGTTTCGGCTTATTTTTGCAGAGAGGAAGGGAGAGGGATGGGGAGCAAGAAACGGCGATGAGAGAGAAGCATCCATCAGCCGCCTCCTGCACGCCTCTTACTGGGGACGTGCCCGCAACCAAGGTCCATGCCCCTGGCCGGAATCGAACCCGGGACCCTTCAGTCCACAGGCTGATGCTCTATCCACTGAGCCAAACCGGTTAGGGCTAATATATATTTTATTGATTTTTTTTTTACAGAGGGGAAGGGAGAGGGATAGGGAGCTGGAAATGTCGATGAGAAAAAAAACATCCATCAGCTTCCTCTTGCACACACCCCCCACCGCCGGGGACGTGCCCGCAACCAAGGTCCACGCCCCTGACCGGGAATCGAACCCGGGACCCTTGAGTCCGCAGGCCGATGCTCTGTCCGCTGAGCCACACCAGTCACGGCTCCCTTTTCCTTTTATTTCGGGAGCGTGGAAGAGACAGGGAGGGACAGACAGAAGCATCGATGGGAGAGAGAGACCCGTGGCTTGGTTGCCTCCTGCATGAGCCCCGAGCAGGGCCTGAGCCCGGGGTGGGGGGGGGAGAGCCTGCCACCGAGGCACGTGCCCTTTGACCGGAATCGAACCCCGGGACCCTCCGGTCTGCAGGCCGACGCTCTACCCACTGAGCTGCACCGGCCAGGGCTGTCAGGTGTTTGTTTTTTGTTTTTGTTTTTTGTTTTTTTTTTCGGGAAGTAGCAATAAGCAGGCATGCGTGGCGCCCGTTAGCCCTGCTCCGTAGAGCCACGCCTTGTTCATCCGCGATAGAAAGGAAGCTTGATGTCACAAGAGGGCATAAAAGCTCGGTAGCCAAGTCACGCAAAAGCGACCAGGAGTGGAGTCGGGGTGAGAGAAGCGAAGGAGGAGGAGGAACTCCTCCTGAGCCGCACCGGCCTGGCCAGGATGTGACACGCATCCGTCTAATATCCGCCCCCCCGTCCCCGGGTGTTCACAGAGCAATCACCGTCCTCTTAAATCAAGCGCCCGTCTGATCCCTCCAACATCCGTGTCATATCAGAGTCTGGTCCGACGCTCACTCCGTCTCATCCGACTGCGTCTTTTCATGCCTGTTAGCACGTCTTGTAATTTTTTTTTTTATATGGAAGCCAGACGGGGAGGTCTTAGGTAATAGGCTCAGAGGTTAAATAGGCCGCTCGTTCTTGTCAGGTCTCACGTCGGCCCGGCCCGGAGCTGGCCTGCGTGTGTGTGTGTGTGTGTGTGTGTGTGTGTGTGTGTGTGTCATGGCTGGCGGCGGCGGCCGGAGGGACGGGGGCTTGGGTTCCCCTCACTCCTCAGTGGGTCTGTGCCCCGCAGCTCGCTTGCTCAGCTGTCATCCACTCTTTTAAAAAAAAAAAATTATTTTTTAATTGATTTTATAAAGGAAGGAAGAGGGAGGGAGAGAGAGAAACATCAAGGATGAGAATCGTGGATCGGCTGCCCTCCTGCACGCCCCCTGCTGGATGGGGACGGAGCCTGCATCCCAGGTGTGTGTGTGTGTGTGTGTGTGTGTGTGTGTGTGTGTGTCTGTCCCCGGTGTCACTCTTCGGAGCGATCGTTGGCGTAGCTCGTCGGCACGGAGGCTATTTTCGATTATGCACGTGGTTCTCCCCGTCATCGTCGGGGGTTTTGCCAGGCGCGCCTCCCCGTCTGCCCCGGCGACTAACCTCACCTGCAGGAACAGACAGACAGATAAGCGGCCCGCCCGAAGGTTCCTCGGTGTCACAGGAGGGCCTCCTTCTGCGCCGTCTTCCGTCGTGTTTGTGTCCCTTTCTGTTTTTAAAAACGCAAGCTCCCAGCGACTGCTCGCCATTGGCCAGGAAGCGGCGTGCGGTTCGGGTTGGCTGCAGCGTGCGCACGGCAAACACAAACAGGTCGGGCCCCCCCCTCCCCCCCCGTCGGTGTGGCTCAGTGGTTAGAGCGTCCGCCCGTGGACCGAAGAAGGGTCTTGGCTGGATTCCGGTCAAGGGCACGGGCCCCTGGCCTCCAGCCTGGGTGCGTATGGGAGGCAGCTAATCATTGTGTCTCACGTCGATGTTTCTGTCTCTCTCTCTCTCTCTCTCCCTCTTTTTCCTCCCATCCACTCTCTCTAAAAAAAAAATATATATATATATATATATATATATATATATATATATATATATATATATATCAATGGAAAAATATCCTGGGTTGAGGATTAAAAAAACAAAACGCCAATGTAGAACAAATCCCAGGTCCCTGTGGGAAAATACTGTCGTCACCCAGGGACGAATGTCACGGGGGCTGAGGTTGGTTGGGCCTTGGGGGGAGGGGGGGGTCCCGCCGAGCCGAGGGCTGAGCCGACGGCAGCGCCCCCCGATGGACAGCGCAGGCCGTGGCTTCTCTGAGCCAGCAGACCAGGTCCCCGTGCAGGGACTGGGGAGGCCGGAGCCATAGAGACACCGTGGGGTTGGGGTTGTTTGTGGCTTCCTTCGGGGGGCGTTGGGGGCGTGGGGGTAGGATTGTTTGTTTTCTACTCCCTCCTCCCCATCTCCCTCTCTCCCCGCCTCTTCCCCCCCGCACTCCCCCCCCCCCCCCCAAAAAAAAAAATACACCCCGTCTTGCTTTTATTTCTGCCCTTTGGGTCCCGTGCCAGCGTCTCGCCCTCCCTGTCCACCTCGGCCAATACACCTTGTCCCGATACGAAGCCGCAGCTCCGTGTCCAATAGGGGAGCGGCGGCAGCGGCGCCCCAAAGGGGGCCCCGGACGGGAGGTTCGGCTTCCCAAAGGACGCCCCGGGTTCGGGGTTTCGTAATCCGCGCTGGATGGGGCCCCTTCAGACGCCGGCTTCCTGCTCCCCGCCAGCCCAATTACCGCTAATGACGGCCTGCCTGCCTCCCCCCCCCCCCTCCTCCTCCCCACGGGCCCCTTTGAACTGTTACGTAACCCCGCTGGAGCTGGGGAGCACCCCCACTTTGCTGTGATTCCTGAAATTACGCTCTTCCGTGAATGGCCCCGGGGACAGGCCGTCTGGCCACTCCGGCCCCCCTCCTTCCCCCCCCCTCCGCTGTTATGTAACAGGGGAGGCATCCCTTCCTGAGACACCTCGTAAAGGCGTGCACGTGTGTGTGTGTGTGTGCGCGTGTGTGTGCGTGTGCGTGTGTTGGCGTGTCTCCTTCCACCCCTCTTCCTCGGCCACTGCCGCCGCCTCTCCCCTTTCACATTCGGGGCAGTGCGTCTCTACACGCATAGTTGGTGCTCCTTGCCAGCCGGCGTGGCTCCGTGGCTTTGAGCATCGGCCTAGGAACCAGGAGGTCACGGTTCGATTCCCGGTCAGGGCACAGATTCCCGGGTTTCGGGCTCAGTCCCCAATGGGGGGCGTGCAGGAGGCAGCCGGTCCATGGTTCTCTCTCATCATGGATGTTTCTCTCTTTCTCTCTCTCTCTCTCTCTTTCTCTCTCTGAAATCAATTTTTTTTAAAAAAGATTTTTTAAAGAAAGAAAATAAGTCCTTTTTTCCCCGCCCCCAATCATAATTTTTTATTCCCAAAGTGGTAACCCCGGGCAGGGGGCAGGGGAATTGGGGGACTTGATTGCACAACTTTATATTTTGTGAATCCTCATCAGAGGATATTTTTCCATTGATTTTTTTTTTTTTGGGGGGGGGGGAGTGTAGAAGGGAGGAGGGGATAGAGAGAGAGAAAAGCATCCGTGTGCATGCACCCGGACCAGGGCCCAGGCCGGGGATCGAGCCCGCAGCCGAGGCACATGCCCTCGACCGGAATCGAACCCGGGACCTTTCAGTCCACGGGCTGACGCTCTATCCCACTGAGCCTCACTGGCTAGGGCTGCACATCTTTGTATACAGGGAGTGCTCCCACCTGACTCCCACAGCCCTGCGGTGGTTTCCAGAATCTCATTTCCATCCGTCGGCCCCGGGACCTGGCTCCCAGCAGCCGGCCACCGGCGACGGCTCGCAGGCCCCGCTCCCAGGCCGGGGCCCCCTCCCCTCTGGGTGGGAGAAGCAAACACCGTTTTTTTGTTTTTTGTTTTTTTTTACGAGGATCTAAATGGGGCTGTTGTCACGTCTGTGTACTCAGAGGCGTATATAGCTCTTCCTGCGTGCCCGGTTCTATTCCGAGCCCGCGGCCCAGGTTATTAACGCGTCTCAGGCCTGCGGTGCCGGTGGTGGTGTATGTCCTCAGTGGCCAGGTGAACATGGGGATGGTGTCCTCAGTGGCCAGGTGAGGACACCGGGGGTTAGGTGGGGGGGGGGGGGGAGGCACGATGGATGTCCCGAATGTTTGTTCTGCGGGCACGGGGTCCCACGGGGGTCCCCCGGGGGTCCCACAGGGTCAGGAAGGCTTTTGAAAGGTCCTGCTGCTGTGATTCTTTTTTTTAAGAGCCCCCTTTCCATGTATAATATGTGTTCCATAACTCTCAGGAAACACCTGTTTCCACGGGCCTCCCGAGAACAGAGGTCCGAATGTTTTTTTTTTAAATACCTTTACAGCCCTAACCAGTGTTGCTCAGTGGGTAGAGCGTCAGCCTCCGGACTGAAGGGTCCCCAGGTTCGATTCTGGTCAAGGGCATGTGCCTTGGTGGCAGGCACATCCCCAGTGGGAGGTGCGTGCAGGAGGCAGCTGATGGGCGTTTCTCGTGGATGTTTCTGGCTCTCTATTCCTCTCCCTTCCTCTCTATAAAAAAAAAAAAAAAAAGTCAATAAAATGTATTTTAAAAACTAAAAACATATTTTTAACGGAACAAACCAAAACACACACACGCACACACTGGTTTTCAGAACCTGCCAGGGGCCTGCCTTCCGTGTCCCGCTGTGTAACCGTGTTCTCTCTCTCTCTCTTTCTCTCTCTCTCTCTCCAGGGCAGCCCCGCAACTTGCAGGACCTGTGCCGAATCAAAATCCGGCAGTGTATAGGCCTTCAGAACCTAAAGCTACTTGACGACCTGCCCATTGCCAAGGTCATCAAGGACTACTTAAAACATAAATTTGACGGCATCTGACGCCGGGCGCGGGCCCGGGCGCTCCGTTCCGGATTTTCCTGGGGCCGTCGGCCCAGCACAAAGTATATCCTATGCAATTTCTGACCCGCCGCCAAGTCAGAAAGCAGGTGTACACTTTTAGACTTTTTTGTTGTTGTTGTTGTTGTTCGTTTATTTTTTTATTTTTCCGTTGTTCCTTCGGTTGGTTTGCATTGTAACAGGAGAGGTCGTTGATATATATATATATATATATATATATATATATATATATATATATATTACTATCTATAAACACACCACGTGCTTGAAGATCTTAATTTGGTTTCCCGGTCCAGGATGGAGAGTCCAAGCCCTCTCTCCGATGCCGCCGCCATGTTCATGGTCACACACGCCGAGGTCACGGGCTCCCGGGCCTCCGTGCATGTTCCGAACCAGCAGGGTCACATGTAATAACGTCGCGAGTCCCCGTCCCGCCCAATTGGGGGGGGGGGGTGTTCTGGGTTCTACTGGAAAATGCACCCCTCCCTCCCTCCCCCTGCTCCCCGGCTCCCCCCCAAAAAAAATTTTGTAAGTACTCCTGTCCCCTCGTCGGTTTGTTTTTTTTGTTTGTTTTTGTTTTTTAACGAATACAGATCGGCTGTTTGAATCGGTTCCTTTCCTAGTTCCTGTCGCTTTCGGGGGCGGGGAGGCAGGGGGATCGAGGGGGGGGGGGGGCGCCGAACCCCAGTACCTCTCTTTCCCCAGTGGGCGTGTTGTTGTTTTTATCTTAATTTTTTAACCACCGCAGGGCGCTGCCCGGGGGACACGGGGCCTCCCCGGGTCCCTGTGGGAATAGTGCTTTAATAAAAAAAAAAAAATTTATAAAACGAACGAGAGAGAGAGAGAGAGAGAGAGCAAGAGAGCGAGAGAGCGCATCGCTTTCTAAGGCCACAGTCCCGTTTTTCGAAAGAACCTTGGCAACGTCCTATCCGGGCAGGAGAGGGAACCCCCAGGATGGCCCCGGACGGCATCGACCCCCGTGGCTGTGACGGTGAGCTCCCTCGAGGCGGTTCCTCGCTGCTGTTTGTGTTGCGTGTGGGGCTTTCGTGGGGTTTTCTCCCTCCCCGGTGAAGCCAGATCTCCGGAGGGCGACATTCCCCGTCAGTCAGTGCGCATCGTCGGCGAATCTGGTGAACCCCCCCCCCCCCGATGTGCCCGCCGTGAGGCCATCCACGGGGACCTTGTCTCCTGGGTCGGCGGGGCCGGCAGCGCGTTAGAAGCTTCCGGAAGCCGAGGGGATCCGGGGCGAGGCCCTTGGAGGCGGGCGCGCCGTGCCCGACGGGTCGTCCCGTTCCCAAAAAGCCCTTTTCCGACGTCCGTCCGGGGATGGTGCCCAGCGCCTCGGGGAACCATGCCCTCCCGTCTGCGCTTTCTGCTCCCGCGGCCCTAAGCCATTCCCACGGCGAATGGGGGGGAAGGGGGTCGCCGATGGGGGAGCCAGGAGCGTGCGGCCGGTTTTGTCCACCGTCCGGAGCCTGTCACCGCGGCCAGGAGGCTAGGACGAGGCGACGCGTCCCTCTCCCCGTAAAAAACAGCCCCAAGAAGCTCACTTCCCTCGGGACATCGGAGGCCAAGCCGCCTGGGGATCCTTTAACATCCAGGACGGCAGCCCGGCCAGGAGTGAATGGGACCTGCTTTCTGCCCCAGATCACCAGGCCCCGCAGGCAGGCCCTCTCTCCGCCTGCGTGTGCGTGTGCATGTCTGTGACCTCCATCGAGCCAGCCTAACGTGGTTCTTTCTCAGCCTTCCCGAGCTTCCCCGCCCCGAGCAGGCCACCGAGTATAGTATAGAGGCCAAGGTGAATTCTTCCCCCCGTGTTGCAAGACCATTATGAGAGCTCCCTGCGGGACTGAGATTCCCTCCGAATGAAGGCGCGCCTCCGGGTCCCGTTATTTATTTATTGTCCGAGGTTCCATCTCTCCGGACGCTTCAAAAGAATGTTTCATTTTTTATTTTATTTTATTTTATTTTATTTTATTGTTTTGGTAACAGACCCCCCCAATCCCATCACCGTTCTTTCTCAGTCACTTAAATCGTCCGGCGGTCGGTCCCCCCCCCCCCCCCCCGTGGGACAGCGGGATCCACGTGCGGGTCCGCGCGTTCGAATCGGATTGTTCCTAGAAGCATCCGTCCCGGGATCCCACGAGGAGCGGAGAGAAAGGAGTATTTTTCAGGAAAAAAAAAAAAAATTAAAATTAAAAAAAAAAAAAAATCCACCGATCGCTTTTCCCGGGATTTTGACGGAGGCGTTCGGAGCAGCGTTCAGTTGGTCGAGGATCCTCCCTGTTTGTTTTGAGATTTAGGACTGACGCCTCCGGAAAACCTTCGCATAAACACGTATCTGGCGAGTACACCAAAGAATCCAGCCCCCGAGAGATTGCGATCACCCACGAGCTGCAAACCTCATCTGTTTCTGAAACCGAGCGTCCCCTCCCTCGACCTCCCTTCCCCATGTAAATATTTGTGTTCATACATGTACAGCAGAGCGAGAGTGTGTGGTTATTTTTTATTTTTATTATTTTTTATTTTTTTTTTTTTAGATTATTTAATGCCCATCTTTCTAAACTTATTGACTACAGAAATAACCCGCGCTTGCACGTCAGGATGACGTGACGTTCTTGTTCTCTTGAGTCCTATGATCAGTCGTGCTTGGGGCGTGTTTCTGAGAGAGAATCCGTGGCCGTGGCCGTGGCTGTATCCGTGGCCCGGGCCCACGTGGCACATGGCGGGAGCGAGCGCCACGTGTGTCAGCTAAGCGACGAGAATGCCCAGAATGTGACCCCGGACGAGGCCCTCTGCCCCCAAATTTAACTTTTTCTGTAACTCCTAGTGTGTTCTCTCATACTGTATTTTGTTCTTCCTTTGTAATGTAAAGTTTGTTTTGCTTTGGGTCGATTTGAATTAAAAAACAAAACAAAAAAAAACAAAAAAAAAACTTCAATCTGGTTTAACAACTTCCTGGAATTGTGTGTTATTTCTAGTCGGCCTTAATGGTTTAATAACGGTTTACTACTTCCCAGCTCTTTCTCGGAAGGAAACAAAAATCTCACACCTTCCTTCGTCGGTATTTTTTCTTTAAAATTTTTTTTTATTGATTTCAGAGAGAGAGAGAGAAACATCCATGATGACAGAATCATGAATCGGCTGCCTCCTGCACATTCCCAACTGGGAATGTGCCCGCAACCAAGGTCCATGCCCTTGACCGGAATCGAACCCGGGACCCTTCCGTCTGTAGGCCAGTGCTCTATACATTGAGCCAAATCAGGTAGGACTTTTTTTATTTTTAAGATTTTTTTTTTTTAATTGGCCCAGCCAGTGTGGCTCCATGGTTGAGCGTCCACCTAGGAACCAGAAGATCAGGGTTCGGTTCCCGGTCAGGGCACAGGCCCGGGTTGCGGGCTCCATCCCCCTAGTGTGGGAACTGCAGGAGGCAGCCGATTCATGATTCTCATCACGGACGTTTCTGTCTCTCCCTCTCCTTTCCTCTCTGCAATCAATAAAAATCTATTTAAATAAAAAAAAAACTTGTTTTAATTGAGCTTTAGAGAGAGAAACGGAGGGAGAGAGAGAGAGAGACATTCATGTGAGAGTGAAAAATCCACCAGCTGCCTCCTGCACGCCCCCTCCCAGGAATTGAACCCACAACCCAAGCGTGTGCCCTGCCCAGGAATGGAACCAGCAATCCTTCAGCCCACCGAGCCCCCTCCGGCCAGGGACCAGACCGTTGGGAATGGGATAAGGATGTGATACAGAACATAGAATCGTTTTTAGCCCCGATGAGGCAGTTCTTACCCCGACCACCACCCTTTATATTTTATCTTTTCATCACATTCTGCCGATGCCAGCCAACCAGCGCCTGCCCCATGCTTCCATGTGTTGGTCCACTCCCGGCCTCGTGTCTGCCACACTTTGGCTGAGGACAGAGTGTGGACCCCCGGCCTTTCTCAGCCTGGAACAACACGGTCTGAGGTCGTTGCTGACTCTGCAGGAGACAAAAGCCAAAAAAAAAAAAAAAAAGTAATAATAATAACAGAAAACACTTGCGTTTCACACTTCCTCTGGGACACATTAGCGTGGCTTCATTCAGGGGCTGACAGGAGGGAAGGGGGAGAGAGGGAGGAGAGAGGTTCAGCACTTGATGGAGCCGCTGGACGCTCTGCAGGGGGAATCTGGCTGCAGACTCGTCCAGGCCTCGGCCCGCGTGGACGGAGCCAGGAAGGGGCCATCTGAGCCGCCTCCTCCAGCTCCGTAGGGGGGGGGCCAGCTGTGAGAAATGGCTAGGAAGCCCCGAGGAGGTTCCTCTTCCAAGATGATGTCAGCGGGGCGCTGTTTGTGCAGCTGAAAGGCGGTTTGCAAATAAAAAGGGCTGGGTCGCTCTCGGTAAAACATTATCTCCTTGATTAATAAACCAAAAAAAAGGAAATAATGTCCACATCTCATGGGACGAAAAGGAAATGGATTTGTATCCTCTGCCTGTGTTTATTTTTTTTATCTTTTTCTTCTGAGAGGAAGGGAGAGAGAGAAACATCCATGAGGAGAGAGAAGCATGCATCAGCTGCCTCCTGCACACCCCACACTGGGGATCGAGTCTGCAGCCCGGGCCTGTGCCCTGACCGGGAATCGAACCGTGACCTCCTGGTTCCTAGGTCGACGCTCAACCACCACGCCACGCTGGCCCGGCAAAAAGCTATATGCTCTTAGCACAGATTTTTTTTTTTTTAATATATTTTATTGATTTTTTACAGAGAGGAAGGGAGAGGGGTAGAGAGCTAGAAACGTCGATGAGAGAGAAACATCGAACAGCTGCCTCTTGCACACCCCCTACCAAGGATGTGCCCGCAACCAAGGTACATGCCTTTGACTGGAATCGAACCCAGGACCTTTCAGTCTGCAGGCCGACGCTCTACCACTGAGCCAAACCGGTTTCGGCAGCACAGATTTTTTTTTTTTTTAAATACATTTTTATTGGTTTCAGAGAGGAA